AATAAAAACATTACTATTTAGGAAAAATGTGACACTTCCGTTGTTTCCTTGTCAAATACGAAGTTTCCAATATACTTTTCATTTGCACAAGGTAATAACTATAAATGAAAAATATTAGTATACCTCGACGATACTTGCCATTTTATTGAATTGAATGCAATATTAATATGGCCAATTATTGCTTCGATTTTTAAGATGCCACTAGGTTTTTTTTTTTTTATATTTTCGAAAAAAGCAAGCTGCAGGTTGAAACATCATATTTGGATCCTTCGAATCGTGGGTATTGTACGAAGTCCTTATATGAGGAAGCATTTTCATTTTTTTTTAATCTTTGGATTCCTCCCAGGTGAATCTTCATCTACTACCGACGATTCCGAGGAAGCGAATTGCAAAATTTAAATTCTTGGCTTCCTCATATAGGAATTTCGTACGCTACTTACAATTCGAAGGAAGCAAATTGCAAGTTTCAATTTGCGGCTTGTTTAACGTGAGACCCCCATGCCTCTAACAACTTGGGGTACTTCGTACTGTGGAGAACGCATGTACGGATAAATGTCTAGCATGATCTCTTCGGGCCTAATATTTTTGAATCGGCTGAAATTCAAAAACTCGAATATATGTATAACCAGATTCGTTTTGCCGATCTCTGCCAAATTTGAGACCCATCACAGCTATACTTTTGTAAAATTGTAGCTCAATCGGTCAAAGTTGACGTGAGTTACATAGATAAATTAAATTTTTTCGAAAAATGCAAAATACCAAAATCAAAATTTCTCGATGGATTCAGCCCAAATGCAATACCAATCAACCTTGGCTACAAATCTCTTTGTCAAAAACTATTTAGACGATTATTAAAAAATTTGCGATCGCTAGAATGATAACGTCCTTTTTTTGAGAATTTGAAAACTACATAAAATCCGAGCCGCAGCTTGAATCATGTCGAAAATTATAACCAATGGGCGTATTACAGAGCTGCACATGCCTGCAAAATTTCGGGGCTGTAACTAGAACCGTTCTCAGGTTATACACGTTTGAAGTGTAGGAGGCCATTACATGCACGCAAACACACACGATACATCCGAACATTTTTTCCAAACATGTTTTCTCGAAGTTTTGGCACATTTTGAACATGGTGACATGAAAATTTCGACAGGCAAATTTTCCACCGTCGCATAGCTTCCTGTACGTGGAAGCAAAAAACGTCGACTCCTTCAAGACTCATTAGTGTCTCTGCCCAATGGATTTGCCAGTTCTGTTCGAGTATCAAAATAGTCAATGTTCCAGAGAACAAACCCAATACTATAATTGCGTTAGTTATTCGATAGTTCTTTGTCTTGACGCGTGCGACTAGCCGTCCTTGTCCCCAGAGTCGATACTTGCGAAGATGCAGAATTGTCGAATAGCAGCCATAACGTGAATCTTCATGCGTGTTTCCAGAGAACAAACCCGTGCCTGTAAGAGATGCTCGACTCCGTGGAAATCGTAAAGAACACGTTTGCGAATACTGCAGCAGGACGTTCAAGAAATACAGCACCATGGCGCAGCATCGCAAGATGTACTGTTTGGCGAATTCAAGAAGCTCTCGAAATATGAACGTATTCCGGTGTTCCTTATGCCCCTATGATACGGTGTTCATTTCTAATATGAGAAGACACAGTAAAACGAGGCACCCCTATTACATGTAATCGAAATTCGACGACCACGAGTACGCTCCAGTTTAAAGTCATTGGAGCTTTTATTATACTGCTGGAGTTTTTAATTGAAGAAAACGAAAAGGGCAGTATGAAATATAAATAAAGAGCCTGATACCTTTGGATTAAACTGTATTCACCACTTTGTACTGATACTGTAGAATTATTTCCCAGACTTTTATCAGAAACCATGAATCATCGTGCTTCGTTCTTGATCAAGAGAGACACTCCGATGATCTGATCAAGAAAGCGATTACGTAAGTATCAGGGAATCTTTACACCGATGGGCACCAGAGTATATGCATATGACAGTCATGAAACAAGGTCGGAGTAACCTAACCTAAAATTGTTGATAAAGAGAATGAAGAAACTTGTAAAAATTTCGGGAATTGTATAAAATAATAAAAGCAATTTTAAATTGGTTAGGGTTCCGTGCCGCTAATGCATGTAACTCATTTGGAGATCCGCAATTGATTGTTATCGATTCTGCAGCATTGCGGTTTTTTTAAATATTTTTTTTTTGCAAACTTTTCCCACCCATTTCATCATTATCCAACCTTCTGTTATCATTGACCAGTGTCAGCAGCATCTCGGTTGTCAAAACTGAACAAAAATATTTTTCGTTTTGTTTCAGAATCTACGGAGCTTCTGCAGAGCGAACCGACCCAGGGGTTCTTGGAGTACGAGGCGACGCCGACCGTCACCGAGGAGACGACGTCCTCGCTGTTCCTGATATCAACTCCCTCGAGTAATTGTCCACTGCTTTGTCCAGCCGTAAGAGAGCCGGAGAGCTTTTCGCGAATGAAATTCGTGCATGTGCTCTGGAGTGATAATTAGAGTCGTTTTAGCAAAGGCGACGATTCGCTCGGGGCACCGGTGCCTTTAACTTCCTCCGATCTTCTCTTTTTTCAGACACCCAGCACAAGATCGTCGAGCTCGCCGAAACGGATATCCTGAAGGGCGTCAGTCTCACTTCCGAGGTCTTCGTGCAAACACTTCCGGCCAGAATGGTGCGACAGGCTGTGGAGAGAATAAAGCCAGAGCCGCCCCTGAGGCTCTATCACTGTCCTAAGTGCAATAACGGATACAAAAATCGCAAGGACATGCAAAAGCACTGCAGATCCTGGTGCGGGCAGGAGCCAAGATTCGAGTGTCCTTATTGTAATAGAAAGTCAAAAAGAAGCTCGAATATGTATGCACACGTCAGGACTGTTCATGGAAATCAAAGGATGTACATACTTGATTTGTTCAAGAGGAATCAGCAGGATTAAACTTTTGTAATTAGTCAGTCGGGAATAGTACGTTTTTGACTGTTACTAAATAAATTTCCTATACCGTGATGACAACACAGGTATCGACCGATCATTCCTGCTCCAGTAGAGAATCAACCTGATGATACATAATTCGTACCTATGATAGATATTTGAAAATCGTTATGCTCGTTGTTGAGTGTCCGCAGATTAATTTATTCGTTAAGGATATTTCTGAAATGCTCGATGCGCATTTCCATGGTTCTTTCTCGGCTCTTTAACACGTTCCATACCGCGTGGCTAATACACGCCCCACGTTGTCTGATCGGAAAGTAACAAAAAGCGGAACGTGTTAAGGCAGAATATGCTGGTTAGCCAGACAACGAAGAATTTTACTCAAGAACTGTACGTCATCCAAAAAGATTACAGTGTTTTAAGTGCGCACGCAGTTATACGGGTTACAGTGATATGGAAATGCATTAGAGTTCAGTGAAATCAATAATCAAAATTCGAGTGTATATTCGAAAGCAGTTTCAACAATAGAGTTTTTCTACAGCAACTATTATGATTATCATCACTACCGTTACCGGTACTGGGACATAGGAGATAAAATCTTTGCTTTGGAATACCTGAATTAAAAGGATTCTATCATTAAGATAAATAATTCACATTGAAGGTATAGACTCTCAATTTTTCTCATTCTTACCTCATTGCATTTTCAATGATTCCACAGGATGATTCATAACTTTTAGAATAGCAGAAGTCTCTATATAAGTGGAATATGAAATTATCCATGTTAATTATCTATAAAGTGAGAAAAAAAAATAATATCAAATGAATTCACCTAATCAAAACGATTTTCACATCTCATCAGAGGACACGACGTAACTTGTAAAGAATTGATTACTTATTTCCAAATTTTGTATAATAAAGTTATTTTCCCATTTGGTACTGGTTTTTGGACTTTGTCACCGATACTTCACATCCCATAGTTAAAACCTGTTACGTAGACTATTTAGCCCATTTAGAAAATTAAAAACTTGTGTCTTGTAAAATGTATAAACAAAAGAAAGTATGTACTCCAAATACTAGGACCCTAATGACTCTATCTTTCTGTACTATAAATATATTTTTTTTTTCAAAATCTTGTGTCTACCTAATAACGATCTCTGACCATACCTTTTAATTTTCAGGTTTAGATCTCTATTCCATCTTAAGGAAAACCTACAGGAAATATCCTTGCACCAATTGTACAAGTGTCTTTGCACAAATGAGAAGCCTACGTACTCATATGAGATACGAGTGCGGACAGCCGCCAAGATTCAAGTGTCCTTACTGCAATCTGATCTCGAAGAAGACGTCCAACGTACAGAAGCACATACGAAGGAAGCACTTGGGGAATGCAGTATACGTTCAGGATATATATCGTGTACCCTTGTCCTGTGTACCTTCCAACGAATAAATTAAATTTTGTACCGTTCCTGAAAACTTGATCCAAAGAAAAGAAAAAATATTTTCTTAAAAAATTTCTCATGCCCGAAGAGTCTGGTGTTTTATTTCTATGGGCGGCATTGATTGTACTCTATGATAAACGTAAATAGAATTCGTACATATACATATCGTCAAGCTTCCATCAAGAGCGAAAAGAGAATCTTCACGATTAACACCACCACGCAATTACCACTCTCCTTATCTTTTCAGGATAAGCCGGTGAAGCACTATTTCCTTTTTTTCCTTCGAGACCCATATCCAAATTGACCGAAATTTAACTGTTTCCAGAAGAAATGTTCGTGTTCGAAGGACTGATGAGGAGTTCAAGCCTGACGCTGTCGCCCGCCTCCTGTCAGAACATGAGCTTTCCCTGTCCAAATTGTACCAGCGTCTTTAACCGGAAGAACAATTTGCGAAATCACATGAAATACGAGTGCGGCCAATTGCCGAGATTCAGCTGCCCATACTGCAATTATCGATCGAAGAAAACGTCGAACGTCAGGGCGCACGTACGTCGTACGCATTACGAGAAACCCGTCTACGTGATTGACGTGAGCTCGACGCTGGCTTGACGCAACGACCGATAAAGCCAATCTAACCAGAGACGACCAAGAGAACAGTACAAACAGAGGAACGAGAAAATGGGGAAAAAATTGAAAAAAGTGACGTTACGATAATTACCAAGCAGGAGTCCAACGTCTACAGACTCTTGAAAAAATAAGGCATCTAGATAATACACGGTTTGTATTACATTACGTATACTTGGCATTTAATATTTGGAGTTCTTTTTGTCAGATCTTTTTTTTTCCCTTATCATTAACTCGGTGATTAACACGGCAACCCTCGCATCGCTGATTAATATCGCTTTTAAACATAAAACTGTGTAATTTGTATTTCCTGCCTGTTTATCTTTCTCTCTCGCACACTCTTTATCTCTTTCTAATAACTAATCTTTTTTTTTTTTTCCTTTCGTTTCAGATAACAATATGCTTCCCGGCTGTCCTGCTGATTATCGGTTGTCCACTGCTTTTGCTCTGCGCAATGACATCAAGTTTCCCTGCCCGAAATGCTCCAGCATCTTCAACCGCAAGAATAATCTGTACAACCATTTGAAATTCGAGTGCGGACAGTCACCGAGGTTCAGCTGTCCGTATTGCGATTACTTGTCGAAAAAGACTTCAAACGTTCATGCGCACGTTCGTAGAAAACATTTCGGTTGCGAGGTCTACGTCGTAGACGTGTTTAGGACAATCGTGAATTAATAATACGGAAAGTATATCATCTTGGTGTCTATTTATTTGGCATCCATATTTTACACGAGTCTTTAAGAGAACTGCCGTTTGGTTGTACGGTATTTAGATTTTATTTAGAACCCCGTTAGACGCGTGTCAGCGAGACGTCTTAAGGACGTATTATGTAAGCTGTCACAATAGGTAGACCACGATGTTCAGTCAGTCTAGCATTCAAAAGACGTCTTAGGGATGTCTTGCTGCGTCAAAGAGGCAGAAAATAGTGACAAACTGAATCGACCAGTTGGATTACCGTGATAGGGCCAAAGTTTCGATTTTTTAAAAATAAGTTTTTCATTATGAAATTTAAATAATAAAAGATGTTACTTTATTGTATTACGTTTCACTGAGTATCTTAATTCTTTATTGATAAAACTGATTCTTGTATTTTTCGAAATCTTCAACATGATTTTCATTCATGGACTCTAGTCACTCATGATATTCGAACGTTCTATGTTTCAGGAACGAATTTACCTATTCGGGTTACACAGAGATTCACGAAATCTCCAGGATACTTCCTTCTGTATGTACCGTCAGTTAACGAAGACAAAAAGTTTTTATTAAATTGTGACAAATATTTTCCCTGTATGCGGTGGCGCCAGTATTTTAGTCTTAGAGGCGAATTTAATTATAGTATAAAATTTGAAGCAGGCCAGGAACCACTAATCAGTTGTTAATACTGTCAATATTGTGCAAGGCACTCTTCGAATGCCAGTCGCCATGTTCGATCAGTCTAATCCTGGCAAAGAAATCTACAGGATTGATTTATACACACTGCATGGAATTGGTAATAGGGGATAGAAGTTGAAGAAACGATACTTGAGATAGTTAACTGTCTACCTATTTTAGTGTGGAATGAATACTAAAACAACAGTGTTGGTTCTGAATGTAAGAATTATGAGGAAAATTGTATTTCTTGATTATAAAAATTGTCTTTTCTTCTGTGTTTCAGGTCGCTACGTAGACTTCACCACTTTCCAAGCAACTGCAGTCGGTGGATTGGTCCTGTCAAAATCGATACAAGGGGAAAACATAAAACATGCTTGTGCAAATTGTCCGAGTGTTTTTAATCAGAGACACAATTTACGTCATCACATAAAATTCCAATGTGGTCAATTACCCAGATTTAATTGTCCTTATTGTCATTATCGTACTAGACACTCTTCCAATGCTCGCGCCCACATAAGAAGGAAGCATCCAGGAAGTAAGGTTTATGCAATCGATGTATCGCAAATTCTCGACTGAACGATTGTCAATGTGAAAAGAGGAGAAACGCAAGAGAATAAAATAAAAAAATAAAAGACTTTGTAAATTATTAGATTTACACCAAGATCTATTTTATTTTCTGAGCCTCAATATTTACTGATAATTAATTTCAGAAAATTATCAGGAATACAAGCCTTTCCGCTCCAGTCATTACTACCGTTGTTACCGTTGACTTGAAAACTGTTCACTGGATGACGAAAATATTTTTGATTTTACAGAAAGAAAATTGTCTCCCTTCTACGAATTGGTGAGACTTCAGGACGGGAATTCATCCGCAGCTGGTCGTCTGATCGATGGAAGATTTCCATGTGGAAATTGCAGCAGCGTCTTCAGTCGGAAGCACAACCTGCAGTATCATCTGAAGTTCGAATGTGGACAGTCGCCTAGATTCAACTGTCCTTACTGTGTCCACAGGACAAGGCATGCTTCCAACGTGCGAGCCCACGTTCGCAGGATGCATCCAGGAAGGATAGTTTACGTTGTGGACGTTTGTAAAACTTAAAGAAAATGGAAACAAGAGCATCGTTCCATTTAATTTCACTTTCCTTACACCGGATATAGATGAGGACAAGGAACAGAGTCGTAATTTTCACCTGCATCATGTACAATTCACCGTCTCTTAAGGTCACTACAATCGACTTACTCAATTTCCCATGAACTTCCACTCGCCGATTGCCGTTTGCCTTCCTTTGTACAGAGACAATTACTCAAGGAAGTAAATTTCAAATAAATGTGAAGACAAAAGGTTGAGAATGTTGAAACCCTGACGAGACTTAAATTCTTCTTAAATTAACGACTTAGTCACGGTTTACGTTATCGTTTCTCTTTTTTCTAAATTTTCTTTTTATCTTTTTGTTTACAGATATCCAAGCCACCGTTGAATCACCTCGTGCCATCTTGATAGCAAACGATTTAAATGATCCTGGAAACAATGGGGACTCCGGCATTAGCAAAATAGAAGAAAGTGCGCTGCCAGCCGTGGACTTAAGAAGTAATCCTATGTAACTTACCTTAGCGATGGATTAAAATGATAAGCTCTCGCGAATTCGAAATGTACACGAGGGCTCGTCTTGGCTACATAAGGGTTTGTAGAGGGTGTCGAGAAAACATTAATTTTGTGGAAAATGGTCTCTTCCTGTAGTCTAGAGAAACATCGGCAAACCATGTTATTCTGTCTAAATTTTGTGTAATAATAAAATAAGACACGATGGGATTCAGTTCCAAGAGGCAGACAGGGACAGTAAATAAGTTCTAGCAAATAGTGTCTGTTCTAATTTTATTATAACTCACGAAATAATTTCGTTACAGGTATGAATCCCTTCACGGTTCTTGGATTTGGCTTTGGCATTGGTGAATTCAGGAGAAATAGCATCGGCAGCATCTGGTCCCGGAACGGCAGTGCTTTTCTTCAAAAAAAATTCCCGTGCCCGAATTGCGCATGCGCCTACAGCCAAAAGTACACACTCAATCGGCACTTGACCTACGAATGCGGCCAGGAACCGCGGTTCAAGTGTCCGCATTGCGACTACCGGTGCAAGAAGTCAGCCAACGTTTACGAGCACGTGCGAAGAAAGCACAAGGACTGCAAGGTCTACGCGATTGATATCCTCAAGCCTTGCACGCAGGACAGTTAAGAAGACTGCAAAGCGAAAGACACACTGCCCATCATTACCTTCCCTCCGTTATTTTAATTCTTCGCAATTCCTTTTTCTAACTTGGCTCAATCATTTTCTTCTCTATTTTTTTTCTTTATAATAAAGACCAATCACTACACATTATCGCACCCGTACTTTGTTACTTGGTCTATAATACTTATATCTTCGACATACGCACTTGGATTCTGTGGATTAAAGAAAATTAATACAGTGTGAGATAGTTCTGCAAATATCCTTGTACCCTCTTCGAAATTAAAAAGAAAAAATATTCTCGCTAAAAATTAATACAGGAGCCAGCAAGGCCACTTCACCTCCCGAGAAGAAGAGAATCTTCATCGACATTATACAACTCTAACGAGTCCTGCTTACTTTCCGTACCATGGTTTTTGTCTTTCCTTACTTGTTATGGAATAACTCGAATTTTAATAAATTTCGATGATCAAAGTTAAATTCGTTCTTTTATTTTTTTGTGCAGGTTTCGTTACACCAAAACTTCGCATAAGAGGCCATTTGGATCTTCCCATCAACAATCGCAAAGCTGTTTATAGTAGACACTTCAGGCACATGTACACCAACAAGGCACGTTATAAATGTCCTTGCTGTGAATACCGTTCCAGAAATGCTTCTGACGTTTACAAGCATGTGAGAAGAAGACATGAGAATTGTGAAATATATGCGGTTGATGAGTATACTAATACTGTCAAAATGCAGAAACAGGCGACAGTTATGAAAAGAGAGTGAAAATGAACATAACTATAGGTCGCGTATAGAATTTATTTCCTGCACCTACTTTACTGTGACTATTATATATTAGACTATGACAAAAAAGATATACTTAATATATAAATAGTCAATATATTGTTTTGCTTGCAGGCGTCAGATCTCCTAGAAAGTATTCAAGTATTACTTTTCCGTGTTCAAAATTTAGCAGCGTCTTCAGCAGGAAGAACAATCTCTTCAATCATATATATGTATATTACGAATGCGGCCAGGAACCTAGATTCATGTGTTCGTATCAAGAGACTTGGTCGAGTCTCGCGCCAAGTACAGGCTGCACTTATAGTAGTAAAAAGCCATCAGATACGTACAAACATATACGACCTACGTCACAAAGACTTGTCAGTCTTTGCGGTTGATTTTCACAATAAGTTTTATAAGAATCATTAAAGCATTGATGTTCCTCTTCAGACAGTTGCAATTTGACAAATTTGATACTTTATGTAATTAGTTTGTTATTGTTAGTTGAAAAATAATGTATCTTATGATTTGTTCATCCTCGTTCTTCTATGCTTGTATTTTTGAAGTGACATATGAAGGTTTCGTAAATAGATTAAGTACAAATATGGTCAGAAGCTACTAATTATACGTTCATATTGTTCATATCAGTATAAGTTTGTCAATAATGTTTAAGCTTTAACAGTTAATTGCGAGTATGAAGTAAGACAGTATGGAAATTAATATCATTTGCAAAGGCAAATACTTAATTCAAAATGTGAACGATAGTGTGAAGAACATTGTACTGTTATTGATTTCACGACTGGTAGTAATTATACTAAAAAAGTTACCAACATGTCTTTGTCACTCTTTGTATTTGAAGAAACATATAAACAAATTCTAGGATAGTCTGTATCTTAAAATGGAAGAAGACAAGAAAGTCATGGCACAGCGAAGAAGAATGTATAAGGGGATAAAATCTGCATCGAGGAGTTTGATAGGGGATGAAGATTAGTTTTCATGAACTTTGTTCTTTCTCCGAACTAAATGGTAAATTTAGAAGTTCGTTACATGAAGCTGCGTCGACTCTTCTTCAAACTCTAATTTCCTTTTATCCAGCAATGTTACAGATTTCTCATTGTGCATCTCAAAACCTGTGGAATTTCATCAGGGCAGCAACAAACTAGGTAGAAGTTCAAAGAGAGGCAGCAACTTCGTGTGCCTGAACTCGGATCCAATAGACCATTCTGCTGGAAGGGAAGTCCCACCTGGTATCTTCGAAACGCCTGTGATCAGCAGCCACGCTTCAAGGGTCCAAATTCGACTTATCGCTGTAAAGTGAAGATTGACATTCGCAAGCATATCCTTAGGATCCATAAGAGCAATAAGATCTGCGTTGTAGATTTGTATAAACAGGACACATGGAAGAGCACATAAGCAAGGGTGTAAGCTCTGACAATAAAAACTCGTCTACTGGAGTCTGCTGGATTTTTTTAGGTCTTTTTTTTTCAATTATCGTTTTAGTTTCTCAAATGTTGGTCCTTGTACTCGTGATGAGTCCACGACTTCATATTTGTGACTGTAGAGCTAAAGAGAATTTTGGAAACCCATAGAAACAGTTCCTCATAAGCATGTTAACGTAAAAGGCAATGAATTTCTTGGAAAAAAATAATCTATGGATATCTTATTATTTTTTTTTGCTTGCTTACAGATTTTTGTCCTTTGCCAATAACGCTGCCAAACTGTAATATACACAGTGAGAAAATCTTCAAGTTTCCTTGCCCAAATGGCAACTGCAATCTGTTATTCACCTGGAAGAAGAATCTCGTGAGACATTTGAGATACGAGTGTGGTCTTCCGCCACGCTTCAAGTGTCCATATTGTACTTATCAATGTAAGGTGAAAGGTGACGTTCGGAAGCATATTAGCAGGAGGCATAAGAATTGTGTAATACAGGTGGTGGAGCTGCAAAAACAAGACTCGTGGAAATACATCTAGAATACTAGTGTACATTTCCAATAAAAAAAAAAATTCTTACCAATTTAATTCCAACTGAACCACTCTCTCCCATCGTATTCTGATCTTTCTGATACTCCAATCATTATATTACAATAACTTCTGAATTACTTCAGAGGGGAAAAAGTGGTTAATGTATCCTAGTGCGGATTACTTCAAATTTTCATGAATATTTTACAGCGTGTTTTTTTCATACTGCGCTTGTTAACTTAGAGAGGATGCAGAAATTTTTATGGAAACGGATCAGTTGACTGATCGATGCTTGTGTTTTGCTTGCAGATGCGAAGAGCACTTTTCCAGTGATTCTGGAATATTATCGGATGCAGAGTAACGAGGGCGAGCGAAAGTTTCCTTGTCCTAATGTGAACTGCAGTCGTGTTTTCAACTGGAAAAGAAATCTTGCTAGACACTTGAAATACGAGTGTGGGCTTGAACCGCGATTCAAGTGTCCCTACTGCGAGTACTTCTGCAAGCTTAAAGGAAACGTCATCAAGCACTTGTCGAGACGTCACAAAAACAGAAATGTCTACGTCGTGGATTTGACGCAGACGTTTTCCTGATGATGAACTTCAAATTTGTGTATTCTTGTATCAGATCCTGAAGTCGCTTGCCGATTAATAGGACACGTAGAAATATATGTGTAGAACATGTATTAAATTCCATTTAAGCCATTAATCGACACCAATTATACTTTGCGGACTTGCACATTGGAATTTTTCACGTTCTAGAATAATTCCCAATGCACATTTTGTGTACAGTTAAATGACGTTGTACCTTTTTTTTTTTCATAAGGATTCGTCGCTTGGCATGCATTTCGCTGGGCTTTCATTAAATTGCGTAAGAATCTCTTTACAAGGAGTTTTTTCCAATCGGTCCTAACACTAACCCCTGTAATATTATAGAATTTTATATCTGGTGAATATCTGATCTACTCTGAATATTAGAGACGAAAGACGTAGACAGTTAAAAGCCATCTTAGTCACGTCTGATTAATGAATTTTAACAATTGCTTTTATTTACATAATGCTTTGAAAATTCATTATGTATTTTTTTTTGTCTTGTCTATCTAACTCTTTATTTTTTCTCTTCCTTGCAGGATTTACTTTCTATGGAGATCCTGATCTTAGGAGCATCTCCTCCATATTCAATCTTCAAGAGTCAAAAACTGAACTTTTCAGACCGTTAAACATAAATACTGTGAAGAAATTTCCGTGTCCAAATTGTCCGAGTGTCTTTCGTCAGAAACCAAGCCTCACCAGACATCTCAAGTACGAGTGTGGTCAAGAGCCAAGATTTCAGTGTCCTTATTGTGATCTTCGTAGCAAAAAGACATCCGACGTGTATCATCACGTGCGCAGAAAGCACAGAGACTTGAAGGTTTATGCGATAGACATTCATGCTAATTTGCCAAAGGATTATATGAACGTTTGTAAAATTTAACAATGATCTTACTCGGCTAAAACGAGAGCGCTGTGCTACTTACAAAGTTGTCACATTGTATATATATTTGCAAAATTAAATTAAGACTTTTGTTACGATCACTCGAAGGACTTTATAAAATACTGCTAATACTTTTCCTTCCCTATATTGTATTTGTGTCACCCCTTATTCTCCTTGTCTATGAAAAATCTAATTTTCGCCTCATCAAGTGTACCATATATTATATCATTATTCAGAACAACAATCTATTAGTGTATTTCATTATGAGTGATAATAGAATTGAAAGATCTCATGGTAGAAGTTGTCTTTATAAATTGAAAAACCTATGAAAATCAACAAGATATGTATACAATTTTCTGTTTCAGCAATTGGATCAACGAAAAAGAAAAACTATAAAAAGAAAATTAAAGTTCAAAATGTCTATGTGATTACTCACGACGAAATCAGTTTGAAGCTACATTTACTTTATAGCTGCAGTCAGGACAATGGATAATAAAATTGCCAAAATAAAGATCCGATTGCAAAATATTTTTCAAAAACGTAAGGAACCATAAATAGACAAAAAATCTAGTACACAAATTGCCCTATTTTCATTTTGATCAAAAGGTATCAGTGCAGTCAAGGCTCAAGATTTATCTGTTCCAATTATAAAAGCAGTGTAATAGACCCAGGACAAGGACTTGTGCATGGAAGAGAATCAAATTAGAAATCACCTTTATGGAATAGACGTGAAATAAAATTTTCCAGCCAAATCGAAGAAGTACATAATCGAGTGCTCCTCTCCCTGATTGTTTTTGGTATGTACAATGTGCGTGCGTGTGGGTGCTTGTGTTTAATAAAATTAAAAATTGCCTCTTTTCTGTTTACCACTTCCTGCTTTCCTTCACTCTTAAGAATCATCAGTCCTCCATTCATTCTTCTTATTGACTGAGCCGACATTTTTTTCTCTGTGATTTCAGATGTCTCGACCACCAAGGAGAAGAAGCGTCCTTACACCTGTCCAAAATGTCAGAAGAGTTATCAGCACGATCATCACATGTTGAGACATTTGAAATTCGAGTGCGGATTTTCACCCCGGTTTCAGTGTTATTATTGCGGAATGCGTAGCAAACAGTCCAATAACGTGTACAAGCATATTCGCGTTCAGCATCCAGGATTAAAAATGGAAGTGATACAGTTAGATTATAACTATTAGACATTTCTTTCATGGTGATAACAAAATACAGATCGTCGAACTTAACTAGACCAGCCTTTCCTGTAATCGAATGATTTCGCTTCATCAAATGCCTTTTTGCTCTCTGATTATCTTCTTTTGTAACTCTCTTCGTTTCTGACGTTATATACATATTTTTCTCAATTTAAATTTCAGTTAAGAATACCTTGACCATAGCAATTACAATTGAACGATACACATGGAAGCGTGGTCGAACGATACCTATTTGTAAACAACACCGTTCCAGTCACGTAAACTCTTCCTCGTTACCTTTCCGTACATTCACTTTCTTTGCTTCTTCGATCTCCCAACAAGACAAATCAGAACCCCAGGGCTCATATTCGCTTCTTATCGTAACTGCTTTAATCGTTCTTGTTTTTCCTGATTTACAATTTTTCTACCAAATGGAATTTATCACTTGATTAACTCTCTCACCTCTTTTCTCTCGTATCCTTTCCAATCTCGTTGAAAGAGGATAAGAAGATGAGTTCAGTAAATAAATTTATAAAATCTCTTTGACGCATCAACAGTCATCTTAAGTGACAAGTGCACTGTAAGATAATTCTAAAAAAAAGAATGCCAGCTTAATCAAAAGGAGATGAAAAATCAGTCAGGTAATATCTAGTATTAAAAAACGTGTAATCGAGGAGATAAAGGTGTACCTCTGTGAAAAAAAAAATTCTCCAAAGATACCAGAGGTGGAAAGCATGTTTGGGTCAATGACCGTTAGAACGATTGAGGGCAAAATTTTCAAAGTGAACGACAGGCCAAAAAAGTGGAAGAATAACTAACCAGAATCCCATATATTTTTTTTTTCAGAATTTCTCGAAGTCCTGCCAATACCCTGGCTCGAGGATAACGAGCTCTCGATGAATGCCAAGATGTCCCTGCTACGATTTCCCTGTCCACGTTGTAACAAGAGTTACACGACCAAGAGTGCCGTGACGGCCCACTATAAATACGACTGCGGAAAACCACCAAGATTCGAGTGTCCATACTGCGGGAAGCTGAGCAAGAAGAAATTCAACGTCCAGGATCACATACGACACAAGCACCGCGCGAAGCCTGTCGTTTGCAATACTTTATTTTAGTATTTATAAGACTGACCAATCGATACCGAAAAAAAGACAATTGATTGGCAATCGATTGCTTTAAAAAAATCTGTCGATCATCATCGTCGTCGATTCACTTCCCGGCTCCTGGACCACTTTTAATTGATCCTAAAAACGCGGTTAACCATGGGAATCAAAAAGCCATCGTTCCCCTTGTACCTAAACGAACGTTTTGACTCGAAAGAAAAATAAAGTAAAGAAGGTCAAAATGAGGAACAAAGAGCACAGAATTCTCGTAGATACTTTTACAAATGGGATCGGGATGAGGGCAAGTAATGTCGGCTTGACTTGTAGGTAACAATTGTATTATCTCTTCTCTGACTATGCCGTTACCACAGTCACGTATCTTATCTACTTATCTGCATGTGACCCTGCTCCATATATTTTGCACAAGAGGTTTACGGCGATAATTATTCAATTTTCGAATTCAATCGAGTCGATCAAGACCTGATCCCTTCCTAATTTTTTCTAGATGAACTGGAGCATTACCCTGTCGTCTACCTGAAGAAGTACAACAAGAAGCGGGATTTCTATTACAACCTGAGCACCGGGAAGTTCCATTGTCCAAAGTGCAACAATGGTTATGGGAGGAGGGACACCATGCTGGGACATTATCGGTACGAGTGCGGAAAGGAGCCACGCTTCAAGTGTCCATATTGCACACTTTGCAGCAAGAAAACGTCGAATATATATCAGCATATAAGATGCGTCCATCCTCAGCAGCAAGTGACCCTGGTAAAGCTCTACTGATTGGAAGGAGTCCAGAGAGCTTCGAAGAGAGAACGAAGACAATTTTCATGTACATTTTTACCACTTTGACTTTGTAATTCGAAAGGAGAGAAGAGACTAGAATTAATAATAAGGGCGTGATACAGCTGGGATACTGTACATAACACATGAAATATCGGTACGATTATTGAAGATGAAATTAAAGAGGAAATTATTGAATAAATTTAAACTGCGTACAGGAAACAGCTTCGATCTTTTAATATGAAATTTTTACGTTCCGAATTCATGGAATTTAGTCAATGAATATTAACCGAAGGCGAAGAATGGCGACAGACGTTATTTTATATTTAATTGATACGCTGTCTCTTATTTTTGCCCTACTTCATTTTATTCAGTCTAGTTAAGGAAATAATGTAAATACCATGTCTTTCTGTGAAAAGCATGCCAACGTTTTTCTCACGAACTTCTTACGCGCTTACCGTAAGTAATATATCGAAATCGGTTTCAGAATTTTGGGCCGGACTTCACGTCGCAGCTGTAGGAAAGAACCTTAAAGGGCCAATGGACCCTCGTGCAATTGTTGATACGCTCAACGTAAACGTCAACCTCGTTCCAGAATCTCGTACGAAAAAATATCATTGTCCAAAGTGCGCCAAGGCTTTCTCACACAGCTACTCCATGTACAGACATTTTAGATACGAGTGCGACTCGAAACCACGTTATCAGTGTCCCTATTGTCTTCACGTTAGTAAATGGACTCATGCTATTTATAATCACGTACGAAAGTTACATCCAGGGCAACAGGTTGGACTGAACAAACTTTACTAGGACAATACATGTACATAAAACAATAAAAGTGAAAAGCATTGTTCGCTCTGTGATTTATTGATTATAAGATTTTTTAAAGTTTCTATCGGCTATGAAACAGTGTTATCTGAGATTGTGAGCAACTTGGAATTGCGATAGAGTACAAGAAGTATCGATCGAGAAAGTTTGACAATCAATGATTACAAAGTACAACAAATTGTCAGGTGGTTGTCAATTTCCGTAAAGACGTTCTATGAAAATTGTAACTGAACGTTTAATTCGTTTCGTGACTTTTTTATTACGGAATTTCAACGAGCTACGATTTCTGCAGTTTTGCTGGACGTCAAAGTGTTTTTGGCGTACGAGGCTTCTCATGTCCAAAATGCACCAGACTTTTTCGCACTTATGGTGATACACGACGAAATTTGTCACGATTCAAATCTCCACGTTGCTACGTACGTAGCGAGTACATGCAAGCTGTCTACAAACTTATACGTGTCAAACATAAGAACATGGAGCTCAAATTCGTCACATTTTATTGAACAGTAATTTTGGACTTTCGTATTAAAAAAATGTCTTGCCCCCACATTTCTACTTTTACATCACCTGCCTCCTATTGATTGCCTCGTTTTAGTCAATATTTATTCTTCTTTTTTTATTTCTAGGTGGATTTTTTCGTATATGCAATTCTCCTGTCGTAATATGCACTTTTTTTTTTGTACAGAATTACTCAACCTAAATACAATTGATTATTATGCAATATTTATTGCAATCTCGGAATTCGAAAAATGTGAGGCAGTGTTCCTGTGTACTTGTTCTGAACGTTATTTATACTGAAAATATTTTTAACAATTCTATTAACCAATGATTATCTTATTTTTCAGTCCATCAAGCAAAGGATTCATTGTCAGCTAACAAATACACGAAGCAGTTTTTCCTTCCACGATCCAACGGAGATTCACCCTGGAATCAAATACGATGACCCGTTATCGTCACTTGTGTGGTTGAGCGTCACGATTTATTTGTCTCTACTACGATAAACGTGATAAGAAAGCCTACAACATTTACAGACACACAACGCGATGAGTTCAAAGAATTACGCATTGAAATTTCACTGACACAATATTCATGTACACGTATTAGGAATAAATTTTGAATAGACCTAATTTTGCAATCGGTCTCGCGATACTTTCTCGTTTCTCAAAAATACTCGAGTCTTGCAACAAAAACAAAAAACTGTAAGCCAAGAAGAATGTCATTCTATTCTGTAGGGAAAATCATATCTAGATAATATTAAGTGTGTGTATCTATCATCTAATCACGAATATGATATCTTCTTTCAGAATCTTAGATGATCCAGGATCCTGGTTGACTTTTAGATAAGGAAACAGCTTCAAATGTCAACGAGGCACGTGTGTCCAAGGTGTTTCAGTAATTTCAGCAAGAGAGCAAACATGTTCTTTCGCTTTAGACACGAGTCTGGTCAGAAGCCAATATTCCAGTGTTTACTTATATTGTGGGATAAGAAACTGGAAGTCCTCGAATACCTATAGACACATACAAAAGTACCACAATGGAAGGGAGGATACCCTTCAAGCTGTACCAAAGATCCACTAAGGAAGGATAACCAGACAAATTTTCATGAAGTTGATAAAAATGAGATCAACTGAATAATTGATCAATGATTTATAGTTGAAAAAAAAGATTAGGGATCATCGTAATAAATCTACTTGACTGCCAGGATCCTAGATGGTCCCCTCAAACAATTATTTTGAAAGTTTATGTATGGCTAACTCTTTGAACGCATCTGTCATTGGACTAACCACAGGATTTCGCTGTCCGCAGGACATCCGTTGCCGTACGACTCCAACATCCTGGACATCTTAAGGGCTAATATGGAATTGAGCGGCACCGATGCCAAAGGCGAAGACGATCCACTTTGGAATTCTGGCAAGATGTCCTACCATTGTCCACGCTGCAATGCTGGATACACTTACAAGAAGACTTTGAAGACTCATCTGAAATACGATTGCGGCAAAGAACCAAGGTTCAAGTGTCCTTACTGCAACAAGAGGGACAAGTGTTCCTCGAATATCTACAAACATATCAGAATGCGACACGACGGACTCCCAGTTATAGTGCACAGAAACTAATTCCCGTCCGGCCTTTTTTCTATTCTGTTCATACAGTTTTTTTTTGGGTGCCAAAAATTGATACTGTATTTTCAGTTCAGTCTAGGGAAGGTGAGTCCTTTTTTTTTTCAAAAAGGATCATGCAGCCTTTGTCATGCGTTTCACGTGTCTTAAATTGTATATAGTTTTGTGTGATGATTTTGGCACAGCCTGTTTTTTGATTTTGATATTGTTTTGCAGATATACTTTCTGCTAAGGCATTCGGGCCGGTATATTGTTTGAGAGAATTTCAATGGCTTTTGACGATTATCAAAGTGGCTGTTTCCTGGATACATCTTTGAGAAGCCATTAGTTGTCAATGTCAGGAATTACTGTAAGACGTTTCTACAAAGTCTTCTGTATGTCTTCGTGCTGCCAGGGTAATCAAATGTTAACCGTTAATTCGAGCCGATCGTGTTTTTGATTCTTTTGAGAGGAATCTAAGTGTAAGCGCAAAACACAATCTTTGGAATCCTGCATAGCAATTTAACAGGCAATAATGTACAATCTGAAACGAATATTCGTTCGATGGGTTACACTGTGAGATCCGAATAATAAAAGAAGAAAAGATGAAGGGGATAAAAACAAAATTACGTACAAAAACTATATATATCATTATTTTATGGTTGTTCGTGATATTGCAGCTATGAAGTATTCGCGCTGAGTCAGTCAGTGCACAATGCACTCAAAAAAAAAAAAAAAAAAAAAATTTGTTTTTTTTTTGTTTTTTTTTTTTTTTTTTTTCTTTT